TAACAAAACTATACTGTTAGAATAACAGTAATTCTACATGCATTCTATGAGGGATCACTTAGCATTACTGATATAAAAGCAAAAATATTACCTTGCTTTATACTAGAGCTAGATCTCACCTATCAAATGTGCAACAACTAGAAGGCAGAAATTTGTAGATTAGTGTAACAATTTAAAAAAAGCTTAGTATACTTTATGGGCATAAATTTTTTGATTGAACTTTAATTTTTTTTTTTACATCATTGCCGTTTATAGCTATGTCTCTTCATTCAGATTTTCCAACACCAGTCAGCAGTATTCCAAGACGGGCATACTCTATGTTGTATTTTTCTACAGTTTAAGTAACTATACTGGGTCACTTCTCTCCATTCATTTAAACCCGTTTTTTTCAACACTTTGCTTACATAACCATTCTTACACTTCAAATTAGGCGCTACACATCTTGTAGCTTGTTTTTAAATCAAATCTGAGATGCATCAATACATATTAGAAAATTATGTACCCGTAGGAGTGAAAGTATATGATAAACTTATGAAGCTACACAGTATTTTCCATATTAAAAAGCTATTTTCACTATTTTGCACTGGACACAATAGTTATCAATTTGCCAAAAATAATATGCAGGTCCTTTAAATTTAAATTGCATCTGTCAAATACACATGATGTCATTTTTGTCTAGAAATAATTTCTCAATCCCTCTCCCCCCCCCCCAGTAATTCATGTTCATTACATCTTTCTGGAATGCCTTATACTGCCACATACTGACAAGCATTTAATTTCTGAATTCAACCTTTCTGAACAGCATTTATACAACTAAGTGGTGAAGCTCTAGACAATTTCTCAACATAAAGAGCACGTGTAGACCATATTTTCTGCCACGTTAGGAGTTTACAAATGATTTAGCAGAGACCTTGCTCTTGCATTATTTTGATAAATCATTGTATAGTACTGCTGGTATAGACCAGACCAATGCTTCAGGTGTAAAAATCTGAATTGCAGAAAGAGGAGTTGGATCTCTGCTCTCTTACCAATTCTTACACAGACTTCACACCTTTCAAATGCATCTTTTTTAAAATGTTTTAAATGCATCTTCCCGCTAATGAAGACCGGGGCTGAGTGTAACAAATTCACAATTTTACATTCCTACTGCAGTATCGCAGGCTGTTCTAGGTCAGTGTAGTTGAAAGAAGACAGGTATGAACAGATGTCCTTTTGATGAACTGAAATTTGAATTCTTCCCGATGCTGTTAACTTTTTTTATTTACATATATATATATATATGTAACAGCAGAAGAATCTCACTTTTGTCACTGTTTCCAGTCTGTTTAAACTAGACTGTGAACCCTCTGGAGTAAAGAGTCTTACTGCACATTTACAGACTGCCAAGCACAAGCTAGGCTTATTGCAGTAGTTGCTGTAGTGTCTAACTGGGTCCAATGCAGTTTCCACTCAGAATATCATAATTCTAGATTAATACAACCAAAGTCTATAGTAATCTTTGTGTTATGAAACAGATACCAGAAATCTTCCACTCTTCCCTAATGAAAATACTATCTTTGATTTTCTTTTATGATGAAGTGACATCTGTGGATGAGGGGAGAGCAGTGGATGTTTGTGACCTCAATTTCAGCAAGATTTTATCACCCTTGTATCTGATTGTATCACAATTCAGATGGGTGGGCTACCAGATAGATGAGAAGTGGCTGGATTACCAGGCTGAAAGGGTAGCAGGTAATGGTTCACTCTACCTGAAAGCTTGTTACAAGTAGAGTTCCTAAGGCGCCTGTTGCAGTACCTCTTCGTTTTAGTATCTTTATCAACGATCTGGAGAAGACAGACAGCACCCTCACTGAGTTTGTGGATGACACCAAACTGGGAGGAGTAGAAGAGGGGGCACGACACAGAGGAGGGGACACAATACACTGAAAGGCAGGACTGCCATCCAAAGGGACCTATATAGGTTATAGGTATGGGCTGATAGGAACCTCACAAAATTCAACAAGGACAAATGCAAAGTCCTTTACATGGGATGGACTAAACCCCTGCACTGGTTCATACTGGGTTACAGATCTGCTTCGCATAACCTAGTTAATGGTAGGCTAAACATGAATCAGCAGTGTGGCCTGGCAGCAATGAACGCCAGCAGTAAACTGGGCTGTAGCAACAACCAGTAGTTTGAGGGAAGGGATCAGTCCCTTTGACCTGACACTTGTTGCACATCACCCGGAGGGCACACTCTGTCTCCTCCTCCAGTTCATTCAGCTTTGGTTGCCACAGTACAAGACAAACGTTGATAAACTTGTGTCCTGGTTTCAGCAGGGATAGAGTTAATTTCCTTCCTAGTAGCTGGTACAGTGCTGGGTTTTGGATTTAGGATGGGAACAATGTTGATAACACACCGATGTTTTAGTTGTTGCTAAGCGGTGCTCACACCAGTCAAGGACTTTTCAGCTTCCCATGCTCTACCGACTGAGAAGGCTGGAGGTGCACAAGAAGCTGGGAGGGGGCACAGCCAGGACAGCTGACCCAAACTGGCCAAAGGGACATTCCATACCGTGTGACGTCATGCTCAGTACA